AGTATAAGAACGAGAGTAATTTCTGTGCTGCCAGATTGGTATTTTATGTTGGTCAATTCTGGCATAAGTGGTATGTCATCTTCAATGTGCCATACAAAATTGCCAACAATTTTTTTGCTGATTTTTTCTTTGTTTTAGGAAAATGAAATATTCGTTGTTGTGTTTTTTTCACTTCGGTCTTTTTGTTCTTATGCCGTTGTGCACACTATTTTCCGTCGGGAACCTCAATTAACTGCAGTCATCAAATCGTAATTGGACTACTTTATATAAAATTAGTTTTCATGAAAAACTACTTTATTTTTCGATCGGCTTTTTAACATTCACTGCAAAAATGTGTCAAAATTGAGACTCAAAGTTCAATGGAACTTAGGTCCACAAATAAAATATATTAAAGTATATCTTTCTCTTTATCAAAAACCGGTGTTTATTTTGTTCTACAACTCCGCCTATATATTACATTCTTTTGAATGACATCCTACTCTGGTAAAAATTTTATTCATCCATGAAATAAAACATCAATCCTAAAAGTATGCAACTAATTATTTTCTTTTTTCATAAATATGCAATATCGTAAACAGATATTAAATCATTCTTATTTTAAGTCGTATTTGTAACACACCGAATAGAGGTATCAATCTTAGATTGCCGGGTAATCTGTCTGAATAAATGGAATAAAACTTTTCAGATAGACTTCGCGTAAACGAGGTGTGAATATTTGTCATAACAACCTAAAGGCAGACATTTATGCAAAGTTCCTTCGTCCTTAAAGTTATATCCAATGGGAAATACAAATACATAACGCCACGTCTACGGTTGCCTAATAAAATCTTATAGGAAATCAAAGCATGAATAGAACGTGTGTTGAGCTGTTTCAGTTTGAACCGGAAAACAAAGCGTTATACAATTCTTTTCTACACTGATACTAATGTCATGCTTGAAACATATCATCCTAACGTTGTTGAGAAACGCTGGAGCTGTTTTGAATATATTCTCTTAGAACATCCAAGTCCTTTGGTATTGCCGTAAAACGTAGTGAACTCGAAAAATTACACGTAACGTCTCTCTACTGCTACATTCGGCTTGGAGCCGAATGGTTGGTGCAGATTCCAACCATTTGATACTGACGTAATTTTTATACACGAAAACACTTTTTCTTGTTACTATTTCAATACAACGCTGTGTGAAAAGAAGTCATTCTTATCAAGAGATGCAAATATGGACTTAATAATTGAGAAGACAAGCTATTTTTTGATGATCTCCATACACAAGCATGGGGGAAGAGGAATACTGAGAGTAATTTGGCACCCAAATATCGTTCAAAATGGAGTGATGAGTTGTCTGAGAATCATTACTGGGTCGGGAACTACTCTTACCTTCCGACATTAGGATGTCCTCAAAGGCAGACATTTAAGCTTTCATTCGGAAGGCAGAATGTCTTCTGTTCGGTTAGGGTCTGTTGTAACACAAAAAATCAATCATGGTCGCAGTGCTCTGCTCAAGTGGGAGCTAGTACCCCGTTGGTTCTTATCTATCTTATCTTATTCTTAAAATTTCCCTATGTATACATATATTGTTTGTTATGTGTATCATTATTAACCACGTTTGAGTGATCTAATCTGGTGTTACTGCGTATCTATCAGATCTCTCGGCATGCTCTAAGTCAACTAGCTCTACTTTCCTACTAATATTAACTCATATATCCCAATAATTATTTTTTCTCCTTTCATCTTCTGTTGTAGATTAATATTCTGTTATTTTATTATTTGCTGCTGTTTTAATTGAACGTATGTGTATGTATTTTCACACTATCGCCACATTTATGCTGAAGCTCACCATTTTATCAATTTGAGCACAATTTTTACCGAACATAGTTGCATGTCCTGTTCGAGTTGTGAGTTGTAAGCTGCGAGCTGCGAGCTGCGAGCTGCTGTGCTACTCCAAATCCGCTTCATCAACTTAATCAGTAGTGACAACGACTTACAAAGTGCCACCAGTTTATGTGTCACGTTATCGCACTTCACTTCCTGCGAGGTCGAGTTACGAGCTACAAGTTACGAGTTGCCAGATACATTGTTGGCCGTTTCTGTTCAATGGGTTTTTTCCTCCACATTGTTTTATTTTTGTGCTTTCTGTCCCATTTGCAACATTTTTTCGTTTAAATTTTTCCACATTTCTGTTCTTTTTTCGGTTTTTGCCCCACACAAGTGCCAGGACTATGAGTACAAGTGCAAGCAGCTTCAGCATTTTGAAACAGAAACATAATTTAATTTTTTCTTGCTGCCACGAAATAGATACACTGAATATGTAGATATTCCTATTTTTATTTGTAGTTATGTGCATTTGTGATATACCAATAGCTTTTTTCTAATAATTTTTTGGTGCCTGCATGGCTTAACTGACTTCTCAGTTTCGCTGGAAATTTAATTAAACTCAGAGCAATTTGCTACGGCACGCATCGCAGGCCCTTCCATGTAGTCACAGTTCAAGCTTTAGTATAGTTCTTAGCTACTCATGGACCGCCGCCACATACCCACAGTGGTGGTTTATGTGTATGACTCTGTTAATTTATATGTATTTAAGCATACATGAGAGTATATCGCATCAGTTTGAGGCATTTCATCGCTATCAAGTGGCATTATCAGCCACCGCTCACATTCGCATTCGCATTCGCATCCGCATCCACGTCGATTGTTGGTTACAACAGTGAAGTGGCTCGGTTTCCATCTAAAGGCATTGATGCCACGCTGCACTGTAGTACCAATAGATTCAATAGATTCAATTCGTCGAGCAAAGCATTCTGTTGTGCGGGTGTGACTGCTTATGTGACTCTGGTAGGCAAGCCATTTTCTCTTGATTTGTTGTTGTTGTTGTTATCTGACCAGCTGTGGAAACTCACAAAGATATTTGCATAGAACGTTTGTTTTTATCTTATCCATTTCACTCCGTTTTTTTTATTTTTATGTTTACTTTTTTATATAAAATGATTTTAGACTCTTTAACAAAAATCTTATTAAGCTCTACGTGTATTACACAAATTAGATAACGCTATTTAGTATTGCTAAATAGATCAGTTAACGTAAATCTATGGAAAATCTATTGGTTTAGTATTGTATTAGTTAATGTGTGGGCAATGGATCAGTTAATGTAATGCAATTTCACTCAGGATTCACGCAGATTTCAATATCTTTTACTGCTAAGCTATTTTTCAAAATTGCTGGCAAGCGATTATATACTTACATATAATAAGTAAAGACAATTTAAGACGACATCTCCTATGTAGAAGCTTAGGGGCTTTAGATTGCTAGTTTACTTTTGCATAGACTTCAGTGGATGTCGAACATATCATAAATCTATTCTTCCAGTGCAGACTATGAGATTCTAAAGTTTATTTTTTAACTGCTTTGAGTTAGGTAACCAAATAAAATGGAAGCTATACTTAGAAAATATTTGGATTGAGGCGAACGATTAACTGGATAGGATGCAGAGCACAGCAGGACACAGAGTGCAAAGGAAGAATAAATCTATATTTAACCTTAATATTCTACACACAAACCAATTACGCTTATTTTACTATAATTTATGTAGGACCATTTGGTTGAGATCTAACTTCAATTTCATGCTAAAGGATATTAATTAGTAAATCTGTGATTCGGTAGCTATGTTCGAGCTTTTGTCTCCAAGTAAAGCGATTAGCTTGAATCTGCTTTGAACCGCAGGATGTAAACATAAGCACTGCCGAAAACTTACACAATAGCACAAAGCATAATTAAGGCAAATTAAATTAACAATAGTAATGAAAGTCCTTCGAACTACATCAGTAAATGAAAGTAATAAGGATAGTATCGTATTTTTGGAAAATAAAATCAAAAACTCCAAATACTTCCTCCATTTTTCAATACTTATTTTTCTTTGTTTTTAATTTTTTTTCTCGTAATTGCAGCAACATGATTTCTGTGTCCTTTACTCTACATGGCCTGCCCGGACGACACATTGGGAAGTCTTGGTGCTTCAATATTCGTTCTGTGGCTTGAGACAAACTTTAGGTTGCATCAGTGACGTGAGTTGTAGACCCAATGAGCGGCAAGTGGATAGTCCTACGTAGTAACTTAAGCTGCACATGCAAGTACTTGGAAGCCAAAACAAAAGCAACCAAACAGCAAAATCAAGAAAGAAATGAATAGCTGAAAAAGGATATCAAGGAATAAGAAAACATTTTTTGCTGTACTTAATTTGAAAAGTTTATTTGTTCTGCATTATTGCTTGAGTAAAAGTCAAAAAAAAAACCAGAAGCTTATATTTAAATGGCTTTAATCCTTCTGGTGAACATATTGAACCGCGCATATTAATCCCTTGTAGAACACAAACATATATCGGAGATATTATAAAGTAACCATTAGAAATTTTAGAAGTTTGGCGAACGAAAAATTAATCGTGAATAGTTCGTTTGTATCATTTTAAAATAAGTGGATGGTTGCCATTGATTTTATGGCATATCGGATCTGTTTGTTGAAACTAACAAGACCTACTTTTTATGAAAAGAAGTAGTCCAGTATAGCTGAATGTGGAGAGCGCAGAAAACCAAACTAAACAGTGCACAAGGCGGGGTGTGTTGTTAGCTGTAGGATCTTCAGTAAATTCTTATACTACAGAATACGTCTGTGTTGTTTTTTGACGAAGCCGCCAGGACATGAGTGAGCCACACCGCTGAACATAACTATGTAGTGAAAAATGCAAGCGACTTTTCATGACTGACATTCGATGAAGACGCAACCCAAATAATGATCTTTCGTCTTTGCATGCTCCTAGCTAAGACCATTTGGTTTGAAGACATTCTATATATGTATAATGCTGACTTTCTCTTTGGTAAATTTGTTACGTTAAAGGAAAAAATAATTTACTCGCATATTTACTGTATTAATGAGATCAGAGATATAAGTATTACTCTTCTTCAGGTATGATCTATATAGCTTCAATTAGTTAAGAAATATTTTTCGACTTACCTGGTATATTGGCATAAGCGGTTTCCGCTAATATCACAAAGACCAATAAGACAAGTTGAAATGATTTCAACAATTGGCAAATGTTGTGATTATAACGTAGCAAAAAAATTTTGGGAATTTTATTTACAATCACGGCGGCGGCAGTTGCGACAGCAGCAACAGCAGCAGCACCAGCACAGCGTTCAGTTGTCGTTGTCGTTGTCGTCGCTACCGTACCGTCGATCTTCGTTGGTTTTACTACCGGTCTGGTATTGTTTATATTATTTTTGGACGTCGTTCTTGACGTCTCCAGTATCGTTGTTGTTTTTGCTTTTCTTGTATTTATTGTAGTATTTGTTGTGTCTGTTGTTGTATTTGTTAAATCATTTATTTGATTAGTTGTTCCTGTTCCTGTTCCTGCTCCTGTTGTTCTTAATCTTGTTGTTGTTGTAGTTGTAGTTGTAGTAGTAGTAGTAGTTGTTGTTGTTGTTGATGATGTTGTCGTTTTAGTATTTATAGATTTTTTCGTTTGTTGATTTGTGTTTGTGGCGAACGATGATCGCGACCGGCTTAATGCCTGACACCACCGGTAAGACCCAGGGTCCGCACACACGCCCATGCCTCTGGTCCCATAGTCAATGCCGCAAACGGATCGTCCTCATTACAGCGGCGTCAACTATAGATAATGAAAGAAAGAAGAAGAATAAAAACTCAATAAATTTTTTTAATCAATATTAGAATAATTAACTTAATAATTTAAGCAATATTAATTAAGAATAATTAGGAAAAAAATTTTTGTTAATAATAACGCAGAGTCTAAATTTATTGATAAAAGAATTTAAATAATTTTTGAGTTTATAATTGATTTTTGAGCTTCAATAGATTTTACTGGTCTGTTAACTTCATAATTGATGAAGAACTTGGTGCATATAAATGATTACTGACCAAAGAGAAAGCTCATGATTCTATTTCTATTAATCAAACTTTATGATACAGCTTTCGAATCATAGGATCTAAGTAGTTCAGTTTTAGACAGAGTATCATCTACCATTTCATACTGCTTATATGCTGATTTGATGCATTTGTATAATTTTAGAAAAGTACTTCTATACGAATGTTTACCTTCAATGTTTTTTATTGCTTAAATAAAATTGGAATAAAAAAATTTTCCTCTTTACGTACAGACATTGCCTTAACTGGCAGTTATGTGCAAAATCTTTCCATTTTTCCTTATTAAATGGCAAAGCGGAGAGATAAAACTAAAACAAATTTTTTAAGAATTTTGCCTGGAAATTAATTGCTTTTCTACTTCATCAATTGGCAAATATGATAGAGTTCAAAAAATCTACAAGTCCAAAGAATAGAAAAAATAGAAATACAGAATATAGAAAAAAATCCATTCTAACAACGAAACCAATAAACCACAATTATAATGAAAATCTGTAGTAAAGGAACAAAAGCACAAGCTCATTGAAGCCGCATTGAATGATTTTGGTTTTCTCTGCTTATACCAACTACCACAATTACCTCAAAAAGTCCTGCCGGACTCTTCAATTATCCTACTGTCAAGTAGAGTTGGATATTTAAATCGAATTGAAACACAGCAAGCCAAACCGTAACATAACGTAAAGTTGATTTCAGATAACTGAAATAACAAAATTCTGCCAAAATTTCACTTTATTCTGCAACTTAACCTTCCTCAAGAGTGATAAATTCATTCAAATGACTTTCTAGTATTTCGAAAGCCTAGAAGTATACTACAGCTTCTCTTTATTTTAGCTATATTTTCCCCAGAGGCATTAAAATCAATACATGTAAAATTAGTTGTTTATTACTAGGGTCCAGATCCAAACCCAGACAGTACAGTGGATGGGATAATGATTAAAAATGCTATTTCTGCTATTCGTTATTGTGATCGACTTGTGATAATGCTGCATAGGTATAACATTTCTAACATCATTAGAAAACATATGCTGATGTTTGTATTTTTGGTTGCATTGACAGATATGTCTGAAGTATATTTACAAAATTTCTGGAATTATTATAGAAATTTAAAAAAATTATGAATTATTCAATTTTGATTTTGTCAGCTATGATAATATAAACTTGATGAGTACTATAATAAAAAATTAATATATTGCAATTTAGGTTGAGAACGATCAGAAATGAATATTGAATTAGTAGATAGGTAGGTAGGTTGGAGTGGCGTACTTATGTCCGAAAACCCCATTTGAGCTCAAATGATGATCTATGTGGTACCAGAGGAATAGCATTGATACGTACATAGACTTAAATCAGTATACAGCCAACGCCGGAAAAGGTAGAGACTACCCCATTGCGTAAAAGAAACCCAAATTGAAAGTTCTATAAACTTGGCCAGGTCACTAACATTACAGGATGACAGCTCAGTCAGATTGGTGAGAAAAGGGGATTCGAAGATTTTTAATCTTCTTTTAGCTAAAGAAGGACACTGACACATAAGATGGAGTATGGTGTCCTCCTCATCAGAGCTACAACCTTGACAAAAATCATTGTAGGGTAGACCCAGTCTCGTAGCATGCCTTCCTATTCCGCAGTGTCCCGTCAGCACAGATACCATAGTGCTGAGCAGCTTCTCCCTTAGTTGAAGTAGCTGACTAGTTCGTTTCTTTTCTAAATTAGACCAAGTCATCCTAGATATCTGACAATGAGATTCATCAGCTCAGTATTGCTATGCTTAGGAATTTTTGTTTAATTGCCAGTTTAACTGTAGCAAGTGGAACGCCTATATCTGAGAAGTGAATGTTAGGAAGAAGAGCGCCTATCTTGGTGAGGTCATCTGCCCTACAATTACTCGGGTTATCCCTGTGACCAGGAACCCAAATGAATTTAACCCTAGCAAGCCTAGATGTCATGATGTTTTTACAATAATAAACAACTTTTAACAATTGTGTTCATAAGTAAAAGTGCATATATATTAGATTTTCATGAAAAAACAGTTTTCACAAAGAAAATTTACTTATTTGTTTCCAGTAATTTTACTTTTTCTTCTTTTCACACAAAATGTTAAAAGTTTTCTTTATTCGTACGTTGCACGCCTCATAAATAATTTTCTAATAAATTTTTATTCACATTTCTGCATGGCAGTCGCCTTACACACACACACATAAACACACACAAACCCACGTCAAAACATAAATTTCACATTTAAAATAGTTGGGCAAAGTTTTCGTATCCTGGAAATGTTTGTACGCCCCACGTAGCAAGGAATATGGAAATATTATAAGCGAGGAACTTTATTATTAGCGCTGGCAACTGCTCTTGTTGGATAAATTGCGTAGCATACTTGTAGGCGCGAAATTGTGTGCGCTTAACTTTTACGCGCTGTAACTTTTCAAAAACATTTAACAAGCCAAGAACATACTCATATATGTAAGCACAGACACACGATCAATACCACATGATTAACTCACAACATGCTTCCCCGCATCAACAACACCCATGCCGCCCGGTCCCAGTTTCACTTTATAGATTTAGCCAAGTTAGCATATCGCACACAAATCATTTAAATAGTGCAGCTTCCGTTGGGCTCAACTACAGAGCAAACAAAAGTACTCGTAAGCAAACTTGTTAACTTTGTGCAAATAATATTACGTATACGCAGTGTTGTGCCTCTTAAGCCGCATAAGTGTCGTAGTTGTAGTCGTAGTCGTAGTCGTAGTCGTAGTCGTAGTCGTAGTCGTAGTCTGTATGTCGTTTCATGTATGTCTCAGCAGTGGAAGTGTGTGGAGCATAAGTGGGTAGGGACCACAAGTACGAGTGGATATCTTCTGGTTTCGGTTCGGTATTTATTTATCTAGCAATCAGCCACAAGTTGCTTGCATCACAATGGCTTTTGTTCTCCGGTAACGAAACCCATTGCTGAACTACATTAAAATGTCTATTTTGTACCTATGCGAGGATGTTGCTGAATAACTTTTGTTTATGAATTTCTGTAAAGTTTACTTTCATGAGATTTCTGCCTGAGTTAACAAATGCTTAATACTTTTAATTGAAATAAGTTTGTGCATAACATTGTTGCGTCGTACGGCGCAAAGTTCATCAGTGCGACTCATTTAATCCATTTTAATTAATTTTTAACTCGTACTCTTATCACTTTCTTGCAAATGAGTACTCGTACATTGAGTTGTTCAGTGATTATTTTGGATTTGAAGTAAATTACAATTACAATGTGATTTAGCACAAAATTGATGGTTTTGATAGCCAAAGGTATTTAGTAAATTATTGTTGTGCTTCTGAGTTATCAGGCTGAGTAAACTTCATGAATATTAGTTTTGTTTACTAGATTTACTCGTTCGAAACATTTATCAAAAAATTTGTAAGTTTCTCAAGATTTAATAGTATGAACTGACTTTCTTTATTAAATGAGTTCACTTAATTCTATTTTGTTCTGCTTGAAAATATTCAAGCCATCTCTAAGAATCGGCTGTTGAGAATACATCCTAAGATCCAGAAAATAGAGTAAATAAGCGAAAACTGGATTGAAGTTAGCACCCTGTACCAAAGTCTAATACTCTATACAACTAATAAATATAATATGATGTTTAAAGGGTTTTACAACTCCTTTGTGAGTTCACGCAAAATAATAAACCTTATTACTATTCATGGTCTGACAATTGAAAGGTCTAAATTTTACTAAATGCCATTTCCATTGGAAAGTTAAAAATATTTTAACATAACCTCACTGTCAACTGATCGATTTGAACTGATTTGTGATGTTCTGAATGACTTATATTAGCTCCTGAATATTGTTATTCTATAAGTATCTATGACTTTTAATGTGGATTATTTAGCCTACAGCATGTAACGATCTCAGCAACGTACATTATATAGAGTTATCTGTACGACTATCAGTCATAATACGGGACTGCTAAGGGACTAGTTTTTGAAATCATGTTTTTAAATTATTGAATGAATCAAATTGTGCGTTTGTAACAAACTGATTGTAATTGTAGCTAATAGCTTTAAAATTATAATATAAATATTTTTTTCTTATATAAGCTTAAAGCTACTACAATTTATCTGAACCTCACCTCACCGTCTTTGTGAATGCATTGCAGATTCATGACATGCATCTCAATTATACATTTAGTTTCTCAATCACGGATGTAATGATTGTCTGATCAGTTTACTCTTCAAAATACTCACAATTCAAAGATTTAATTCTTTCGCTTACGTAGGATTGAAGTCATCTACATGTTAGCTATATTTCTATTTATTGGAAATACCAATGCATTGGTTTATTGATAACTTAGACAATGTTCCAAATAGTAGAGATCTCTCAGTGAGATCTCTCATTAAAAACGAGTTAACTTTATAAATAAAATTGCAACAGATATAGTCCCATCCCAACTTTGAACACCGAGTTCATAATGCACGCGGAGTATGTGCTAACCATTAGTGGCAAGATGGTATAGTCTTAAATACTGAGTTACTTATGTTTCACCTGCTAATTGCTGGAATGCAATTTCAGCTGGAAGTCTTTTGCAGTTTAATGACTGGGACCTCTTTAAATCGTTTCTATGAGGTGGTTTTAGTGGGCTTAAATCTTGCATAAAACGATAAAGTACTGCCTAGTGCCAGTTTCAATTATGTATTCATTTTTATATACATTGCTTAATGGACATATC